AAAAAAAAAAAAAAAAAAAAAAAACTAAAAGCAAACAAACTATTGGTCACGCGAATTTTTGCCAGATGTGGGATCGAATGGATGATGATCGAATCAGCCAAGAAACTTTAATATAACTACACGGAGTGCGACGCGCATTGAGTCACGCATTCTTATACACATATACCTTTATACCGTCAATTTACAATGATAACGTTCTAATAAATATACAACTCATTAAACCAGGAAATAGTACATATTACCTATTCATATTCTAAATCCTGTTGAGTCTGTCGTATTCATATTTACTAGCCATCACTGGTAAGGTTACAAACGATGTCTCTGCTTCTTCTTCAAATCTGCTAAATCTCTTCTGTGCATATTCTCTTACGATTTGAGTCAACGTGCATCCACTCTTTCCCGATGCACTTTCGAAACGTTAGCCACTAAGACGTTGTGGCGGTAGCCATCACAGAACAGCAACCATGCCTGAATCTCGATTACGACATTTCCAAGATAAGCAAGCATATATACAAGTTCCGAACAACAACATTCAGACCGTCGGTCTACCGAGCAAATATCAGCCGCTCGGTGGAAGATCTTCCCTTTGTCGTATATCTTCCCACACTGGGGACCTGCGACGGAACAATTGCAGCCTTCACACTTCAACATCAGCGCATCAAGAACTTCGGCTACTACAATTCTCGCATTCTCGCATCGTCATGAACACTCGTCAACACAGTCACCGGCATCAATTACACTAAGACCCTGACCCCAACCGAGAACCGGTCCCCTGTACATTAAACAGGAGGGGAAAAATCATAGCCTTCTCTTGACTCGGAAAAGAACTGAAGTGTCTAGTCTTTTTAACCGTCTTCAAAAAAGGAGTCAATTTGATTATATTTTCTATGTGTGTTTTACCTCAGAACCTTTTTCTACGAGAGCCGTACTTCTGATTTAAATTTTATCAAGATCTTACCAGTAGTTATTGAGTTGTCCTACATAATGCATATTAACTACTACATTGATGTAATTCTCATTTTTGTTTGTTCAAAACGGTTATTTTTTATCTTTTTTTTTTTCATCTAAGTAATAATCAAAAATTTTAGCATGCGATAAAATTAACTATATACTAAACGAGACGTGCCCCGCCGTTTATTAATTATGAGAACTGCGTACACTCTGGACTATTATCGCGTTGATAAATAATTTATTGTTTTTCATTGCTATCATTTTTTGTAGGAAATTGGACTGACCGTGAACGGTCGAGCTCTTGGTAAAACCACAATACGATGCTGGTAATGGCATTATGTCATCCGTGGATTTAGCGGAATCCCGATGAAGTTTACATTAAAAAAACTTATCCTTTGCGGCATTTTTCTCATCATTACTAAGGGAAAATTTTATAGTAATGAACCCTGTGAACGTCAAACGGCCAGTCTAAGATAGTTTCAGACAGTTTAAGCAAACTACCAAAACACAGCTCTCAAGAATTTGGACTTAACAAACTTGGAAACAAAAGATTGAGAAGATGTTTTTCCTCTGTGCTTCAATTTGTTGGGACGAAATTTGGTACAGTTATTACGGCCAAATTAGGGAATATTTCTGTCATAGTACCATGATCTTACGAGAGAGGGTCCGTGAATTGTTTCAACAATTCGACATAGCGCAATGAATTGACCAAACTTAACGAGAATTACTGACTCGTGATCATAGAGATTGCTTTAAATAATGGATCTAAATATCCCAAATTACAGACTGAGTATACAAGAAAAAAAAACACACACTTATGTGGGTGCAATTTTCGAATAAAATATATCCGACTTGACCATTACCTTTGGCCTTTAGAATTGATGAATTTTAATGAAGGAATTTTTAATTGGTTATTGGGTCAAAAGCAGAGTGCACCGACCGACATATGACTTTTATTTTTATTTTTGTGGGCGTTCGTCAATTCGATGAATTGCTGCGTCATCCGTACTTAAATCAATTACTGTGGATTTGCACAAATGCACCGTATTACAACGACTTATTGTTCTTCTCTACCCTAAATCTACATGTGCAGTCTATATTAGAATTGCAATGGCACATTTGCATGGCAATTTCATGGCCCCGCCTATTTCTGCCGTGAAGCAGTAATGCGTTTCGGTTTGAAGCGGTGGGGCAGCCGTTGTAACTATACTGAGACCTTACAACTTATATCTCAAGGTGGGTGGCGCGTTTACGTTGTAGATGTCTATGAGCTCCAGTAACCACTTAACACCAGGCGGGCTGTGAGCTCGTCCACCCATCTAAGCAATAAAAAAAAAAAAAACTAGACTAAAAGATAATTTTATTTCGTTTCAGTCTCACAATGGTTCTACACGTCACTAACATGTGCTGTGGAATCAAATTACGCACTATATGTTTCGTCATCGCTTATCTGCATTTGGTGAGTTCATGGAATTAATTTTGTAAATGAATCTAATGTCACTAATTTTGTTACGAGAGTAATGTAATATGCTGTTTAAATAATAATAATAATAATAATGCTATATTAAACACGTGCAGAATCGTACGAAAGTTTCTGCAAATAGAATATGATCAACCACATAATGCAATAGTTAGCCAACCCCAAGAAACCGTGACATTTACTTGACCGAGTCCGTAAATGTCACTAAAGTACTACCAGCACAAGCTGAGAAAGTAAAAATTTAAAAATAATAATAATAATAATAATAAAAGCCTTTATTCAGACGCAAAGGATATTTACAAATAATGAACTTCAATTAACGACTTTGCCGAGTCGATGACATCGACAACTTCGTCTGTTTAAGCAGTTTACAAACTATTAAATCTAATTTATGCTAGAGTAAAATTTCTGAATACAATATAATAATATTGCATTTATCATAAGTACTTATGTAAAATTTGATATACATATTTACATACACAAATTGTTTATTCATTACCGTAGTACCGATTCGTATGCCACGATAAATTTATTTCCTGAGATAATTCTTGACCACCTAATGGTTGTTTGGATGTGATCACTCTTAGCTATATGACCGCGGATTGTACTTCTATATTCAATGTTTTATCTCTATTCTCTATTTTTAAAAAAATGTAAAATAACATTTACCACACAACAAATCGCAAGAGTCAAACTACTGGGCTTTATCTGCTTTATGTCCACAATATAGACAAGATTACACTAAATGGGCAGTAATAACTCCATAGAAATTCCGGATAACCACAAGGAGTACAAAAGCAGTACACCAATTGCATTTGCTAGAATAGCTGTCTTAACACTCTCTGGACCCGGTTGTGGAAACATCTCGCTTTTTTTCTTCTTTTTTTATTGCTTAGATGGGTGGACGAGCTCACAGCCCACCTGGAGCTAAGTGGTTACCAGAGTCCATAGACATCTACAACGTAAATACGCCACCCTTGAGATATAAGTTCTAAGATCTCAGTATAGTTACAACGGTTGCCCCGCCCTTCAAACCGAAACCCAGTAATGCATCTAAACGAATGTATTTATAGTAATTGTTAAATCCTAAATCGATGGCCACCCTCCTCCGTGCGTCGTGTTCCCCAGTGCTGTAGGTCGTGACCTTTACGGAGCACTTTTGTTAGGACTATGTTTCTCCATTCCTGCCTGTCGTCCGCGCAGTGGATAGCGACATTGATGCTGGAGTCCAAAGTCGTCTTAATCTGATCATATGGCGGTGGCTATAGTTCTGGCTAAGACTCCATTTTAGATATTAGCTGTATCAGCACTAATTCGGTGCAACATAAAACTGGCACAAGGTCAATGTCCAAAGGTAAATTTGGAATACCCATGGTACAATGGAATACATGGTACATGGTACATTACTATGGAGATAGAACGTTAAAAAAACGAATTCCATACTTACTCAATAGTTTACCCGAGTACATAAGACGTGAGCTTACACGTACTAAATTTGAAAGTTTATTAAAAAAAACACTTGTTAAAAACGTTGTAACCATTTACGTAAATTAATTGTATTAATATGTATAACCTAATTTAATAATTTATAAGCTGTGTTTATATAAAGCGAGTTACCTGCTGTCGAACCGCGTAAGCAGTTTGCGGGGCATGGTTTAAATGAAAGTGTAACTTTTTATGATTAAATATATTACATACATACATACATACATATATACATACATACATACATACAATTTTACCGCTACTCCAAGTCATGTTTCTAGTGAACACAAAAATTCATAGAAACATGAACAAACGGTGTCAATTCACAATGTTCTTAGTATCAAACAATAAACGGAAACGCATGATTGTTTTGCTTCCAGGTGTCTTGTGTCTTGGATATAGCGTTTCATTTGCTGACAGTTGCTATTNACATACATACATACATACATACATACATACAATTTTACCGCTACTCCAAGTCATGTTTCTAGTGAACACAAAAATTCATAGAAACATGAACAAACGGTGTCAATTCACAATGTTCTTAGTATCAAACAATAAACGGAAACGCATGATTGTTTTGCTTCCAGGTGTCTTGTGTCTTGGATATAGCGTTTCATTTGCTGACAGTTGCTATTGTCACTGATGGCTTCCAGTGCGACGTTAATTACGATAAGGTATGTTTTTCCACGAAATTAATTACGGTAGGTACTTTAAAGAATTATTTTTGGAGTTCTCCTCCTTATTGCTATAAGATCAAGTTTATTAGGTAGGTTAGGCATTACGGTAGTATAACTAGAGATACATTTTTAACCTTACCTCTTATAGTGATAGTTTTGAGAGGCTATATCAGCGATACCCTAGCGTTGTAGGTAAGCACTCGGGGCTTAAACCAGGAGGTGTTGCTAAAACTGGCCCTAGCAAGAGCAGTGCTTCGCAGAATCTACCACCGTATCGGAAACACAACCCACTGAGAAGATCCGGTGAGAAACTCAGTGGGCTGGTAGAGATATGATGTGGCAGTATACATTTTATTCTATAACGGCTGTTGTACCTTCGAATGCCCCACGGTAGAATTAGATACTGGTGCACATGCAAGTCTGTATATCATAGTTTAAACCCTACCACCAGTGTGGAAAGTCTCATTTTTGTATGAGGGAAATTGCAACCTCGGCAGCGAGATTCATTTTGTGATTTAATTACGCTATTGTTATTTTTTAAGTATATTCCGTCAATCACTATGATATAAATTTCTTTGACTATACTACCGAGCTACGAAATGTTTTTAGAAATGTGAACGGACAGCAATATAAAGATCAAAATTTGACAAAAATAACAACGTTCACAGAACACGAACAAACAAACCTATAAACATTCGCTTTGATATATTAGATTAGGAACAAAAGATGTTCAGGTTGATAGATTCTTCGAAGGAAAGATTGACGCTCTATCTCAAATAGAAGATTGCTGGAAAATCAATAGACTTCGAATGCTTCTTCTTATCATACATGCAGTTTGACATTATATCATCCTCTGGTGGTATGATTAGGCAATTTGTCTAATATTCGAATTTTTGTACGAAATAATTTCTCTCTTTACAAGGCTACCTAGAAAAGATCTAATTAGGAAATAAGGAAGATAATTTAGGGGACTAATAAGATTTTCTAAAAAGGTATACCGTAGACAGTGTGATGGAAAATTGGCAGCACCTTTTTCTTTTACAGAACAAAACAGGATAGTGCTTAAGATCCTTCATATTTCGATGCGCCAGCCATAAATTACGGCTTAAGATGGATGAGGTTTGGATTTGAAATAAAGAACCTTCTGTTTTTACAGTTCAGCGCTATACCCTGGGCGGTTGTGGAGCCTTTACTTCTGGTTCTAAACCTCGGAACCCACGGCTTCTACCCATTCCCGGGGACATTTAGGCGTCAGTACAATATGTATGTTGAGTACACATCGATTATCGCAGAGCCCAGATGCTATCCCGGTATTCTCCACGTATACCTGGTTGACATCCTCAATTTTCTCATTAATCTGATTTGGTTGAGGATTGTCGTGTCCTATTTGGGAGCATTATATAAGGTTAGTAATTTAAAATATATGTTTTATCCGCAACGGAATAAGTAAAGTTTTTCCACAGGATATGAAATGCATGCACTTTGAAATACGGTGGCATCAAAACATCAACCGGGTGTTCTAAGTAAGAAGCGTAAATTTTCCCATATTTAGTGTGAGGTCAATTGAGAGGTCAAGAGACAAGTGACCGTCCTAGTACCTGGTCCTAACCTCAGCCAAACATTCTGGACTGCATGTTGCTGAATGAGAAAGACGGCCTGTCTAACTCCGTCCAACTTCTTTCCCTAATTCGGTTCCTCAATTGGAATCTGACGCTTATAAATACGACAGGTTTAATTTGGATATCCCAAGTGTCTTGGCCATGATATACGTATGCACTGACACCCCAAGTTTTAAATTCATTCAGTGAATGATTAGATTTTGAAAAAAAACTGTTATTCTAAAACTAAAAAATGAGAACACCAAAACCCGTCAATAAATTTAAAAAAAAAACCTAGAAAGTTTACAAAAATCAAAAGTGGGCAAAGGAACAGCGGACATAGTGCCAATTGACTGTTTGTCTGTGATTAGTACATTTAATTTAAACCCATCCAGAGTAGAATCGGTATCTAATCAAAATACATTTTTCCAGAGAAATCCTGAACCGATGCGAATGTTCCTCAGCCTCTCCATAGTAAAGGTCGTGATGCAAATCATTTATTTCGGATACCAACCGCATTTCTTCGATATATTCGGTAATGAAACTTACTGGTTCCTGAAACTCCTTGACATATGTAAGTACGAATGAGTTTTTAAACTATAAAGATTTAAATAGGATTATAAATGAGGCCATCAGCGCAAAAGTGGTTTAACCCACAATTTTTTATATTCAAGCTTATATGACGTATATTGGAATTTATTTAAAATATAATAAATTTTGATGCAAAACCGGCCTATCCATAGTTTCACCAGTAGATAACAGATATCTTTGTAAACATTATTTTTGCGCGTATTTTTTTTTTGCCTACTCAAATTCAAATTCATGAAAATTCAAACCTAAAATTGCCTCCATACTAACTATGGTAAGGCCACTTTTGCGCTGACGGCCTTAAATGTCGATAGCTGGTGCCGCAATTTGCAACTCTGCAAGTTCAAAAGCCAACTCCACTTTTATCCCTAGAACAGATTGCTGGGGCAAACATTTGGAACTGTCACCTCAGCCTTACTTCTAATTATGGAGGGTAGTAAGTAAGGAGGATCATCTGGTATAGGGGACGAATTGAAATAGTGTCCATAACAGCAAGCTATTGTTGGAAGACTCACCGAAATGGCGCTAGTGTAGGAAATGGAAATGATATGAGTATAGCAGTTTTAAAAAGAGTGAAGTGTGCTGCGCTGAAAATATCGATATTTTTGTTAGTTGTGTAGTAAAAAAATATGCAGTATCTCAACTATTTATCTTTATTACTATTTACGTACGAAGCATTTCGTTCCTTAATCTAGGTACTGGTACCTTAATAGACTATGGCGCTGTTTTTTGCTTCAATGGCGCCACCTTAACGTTAGGCAGCAGCTTGGCTCTGAAGTCCATGGGCGACGGTAACCACACACCATCAGCTAGACCGTATGCTCGTCTGCCAACAAGGGCAATAAAAAAAGTTTGCCCTCTTTCAGCGGATATTTTTGTTACACTCAGATGATCCCCCTTACTCGTAGTTGTAGGTAGGTAGTCTCATTAACCCTGCAATATCTATAGTATTAGATTTTACTAGTAACACACAAACAATCACCGGTTTTCACATGTGGTAGGACCTCTTGTGAGCAGTAAGCTGTGAAGCAGTAATGCGTTTCGATTTGAAGGGTGGGGCTGCCGTTGTAACTATACTGAGACGTTGAACTCAAATCTCAAAGTGGGTGCATTTAGGTACGTTGTAGATGTCTATGGGCTCCAGGAACCACTTAACACCCCAGGTGGGCTGTGAGATCGTCCACTCATCTAAGCAATAAAAAAAAATGTTTACTAAGCAATAAGCAATGACAAACGAATCCATTGAAGAATTATTTATATTAATGATTTCCAAATTCAAACTAGATTAGTTTAGAAAATTTTCACCTTTTGTTCGAGGCGTTCCTATTATAGCACGAAGCCAGGAAAACTCACACTGTTTCCTTTAAAACTAATATTAAAATATCATGACAGAGACACACGTTCTATATTTAGGAATAAAACCAAAGAGCGAAATCGTGTTCCTATCATACAATCATTACGTTTCTCTCAATTCTTAGATATCTAAAAGGAAAACCGTATCGGAAAATTTGAGGATAAAATTTAAAAATATACAAATAGATTCGGATACCTACGTTTCCATGAACTGTTTATTGACTACTTTTACCGCTACAAATATTTATGTAATTGTCGAACAATTTCGTACTTAACAAATGTTCACGATTGACGTCCACGGTGAAGGAATAACATCGTGTAATAAAAATCAAACCCGCAAAATTATAATTTGCGTAATTACTGGTGGTAGGACCTCTTGTGAGTCCGCACAGGTAGGCACCACCGCCCCGCCTATTTTTGCCGTGAAGCAGTAATGCGTTTCGGTTTGAAGGGTGGGGCAGCCGTTGTAACTATACTGAGGCTTTAGAACTTATATTTCAAGGTGTGTGACGCATTTACGTTGTACCATCAGGTGGGCTGTGAGCTTGTCCACACATCTAAGCAAACAAAAAAGCATATATTAACTACCCGCTGATTTCATAATTTCTTCAACCGTAGAAAATGTTTTTTTCTTTTATTTTCAGTCATCGCCGTTGTCTTCATTACAATCATTCAGAAATACACCAAGGCACTGCGCTTGGAAAGGGCGACTGGTATCTCAGAGAAGCCCCCTTCTTACGTCGAATGCCTGATCAACGCAAGCCTCCAAGGTTTCCAAAGGAGTCCACCGAAGAAAGAACAGGTCATCGACATCGATGAGAAGAAAACTGTAGAGAAACCGAACATAGAGAGTCCTGCTTAGAATGGATGTTGTTACTGGGGTGGGTCGGACAGCCGTTATACAATAGAAATAAGACTTCAAACCTGTCTTTTGGTAGCAGCTCACACGTTGATGCCCATGGGAACCGCAAGCCCGTTTGCCCGTATTAAATTATTAATATCCAAACCATAAACTTCAATGTATTCCTATAATTTAATTTTCAAGTTTTTTTTTTTATATAGATAATAAGATAAGGGAAATTAATAAGGAAATGTTTGGGATTTTTGTTTGTTTGTTTTTTTTTTATAAATGAATAAGAAATACTAGAACAGAACCTCGGATCTGGAAATTTGATTATTAGATACATATTTTATTTATTTTGTTACAGACTTTTTAATTGGTAATTAAAATTAGGTGTCAAACTCAAATGTTATATTTAATTTAGTAAAAAAAATTGAAAATGTGACGTTAAAATATCAATATCTCGTCTCGGAGAATTTAAATTTGAATTTGATTTAAAGCTTGCTCAAAGCCGGTATGTACTCGTATTACGGAGCTGTCCTAGATAAAAGCTAATTAATGTATCGATACCATACATGAAGAGTTGACGGTTAAACAAAAGCTTCCATATTCGAATGAAAAAGCTATTGTAACTCCGCGTACCCACAAATAAAGCAGGGCTTTAGTGATCGTTCTAAAACAATATTTTTTTATGTAATTTAAAACCTTAAAAAACACGCTTAAACAACCGAATTAAAAACAGTTTTTTTTTTAATTATCCTGTTAATTAGGTATTTTGTTCGCTCTAACAACCTGGTCAGGATATTGGCGCGAATTTATAAAATTAATATATCTTTTCTCCTTACCTATTCGTTGGTACCCTATGAGGCTATTCCAGGGGTAAACGTAACGTCATTACTGTTTGATTTACCTACAACTTTTAAATACGGACGTCTTAAAGTCTGTGACAATAACCTTCTCAAATCCCATTAAATTCGAACACACTTGCCAAGCTAATGAAGGCGTGTTCAGGATATTTTAGTCTGTCTTCACAACTGTCTCAACCAAAAAACACAACCCTCTAAATTTCACATAAAAATGACGCGGCAGAATGAATCTCCTCAATTTTGCAATTCGGAATCATTAATATCACCTACGATTATTTTATTCGATTTTAATAAAATCGATTTAATTAACTTCGTTAATCTAACTTCGTTTCCTTCGATTTTCGCGTGGACACAATTAAAAGTACTTTTACGATTTAAACTCACGTTTATTGTTTCCATTCGATTATTATCTACATTCGAATATATCTTTATCAGTTACTCGTTGTTGTTCGTTGAAATTTCAAAATTATGTTGACTAGCGTCGTAATCATTAAATTAAAATACTCAGTCCGAGATTTTAATAGTTTTGATTAGTTTCGATTGATATAAACTCCGACGAGTTCCAATTCTGCTCGGCGTCAACTGCGCCAATCAAGCGTTACTATTTCAAGGGCGCAAAACAACTGATACAAAAAAATATACACTTTAACCTTGTCTATATGTCGCGGAACTGACGACCTCAACGATTACCGGGTACATTATCACATTAAGTAAGCACTCATTTGCCGATCTACTCTAAATTATTATATACGTCACTTGCGTCACGCAATAAACCCGATTAAAAAAAATCGATTTCTAAAACGTCATCGTGGTAATCGATAAATTTATAATTAGCTATTTCGATATAATGTTATTATTATTCTAGAATTTATTTTTCACGGTATTGAGATGATTATTATTATTTTTGAAAAACAAGTTAAATTTACAAAAAGAATATATAGATAATTATAAATTAGACGACTGAAACCAATTATTACTTGTATGTCGCGAACTGACAATGTTTAGTAGAAATAAAATGTTGTATTCTATTTTTTCTGATAATCTAGAGTGTGTACAAATTACATAATGAATGTACTATTGAAAATTACTAAAGTTGTTTTATTTTTCGAATTTGACAAAACCCATTTTATATAATTTGAATAAAGCAAGAATATTTTTTTTAAATTTAATTACCCACGCAAAGTGTGGTTTAATTTTCTGTATAAATACAAAATATCTTGTCTTTATAAGTTTGTCCTCCATGGCGCCTATGCGTCATCCAACCAAATCAGTCGTCCTATTGTGACGAAACTTTGTATCTATACTAATATTATAAAGCTGAAAAGTTTGTTTGTTTGGTTGAACGCGCTAATCCCGGAACTACTGGTCTGATTTGAACAATTCTTTCAGTGTTAGATACCTCATTTATTCAGGAAGGCTATATATAGGCTATATAACATCACGCGAAGATCAATACAAGCGGAGCACTAATAAAGAATTTTTCAAAATCTGGGTTTTTTACCTTTTGAGGACTTCTGCTGCGTCCGCTGCGGAAACGGTTAAAGTTTTGCTAAAATAATGTACGACAAAATTGTTCCCCTTTAAAAGCTCTAAAAAAAGTCCGCGACAGCATATGTCTGTATTTTAAGGTTGGCTCACTATAATGTTTTTATGCTAACCAAATTTGTTCTAAAATAAATGTGATTATTTGTGAAGGTGTTTTTATGAAGATGATTTTGGTACTTTAAATAATCTTTAACATTTTATTATTCGAAAATATTTTCACTTTCTACGTAAATGAAGTCACGGGTAAATTTTTGCGTTATGCCAAAGTAATTATTTCGCGCTGACGAAGTCGCAGGCATAAGCTAGTTTATTAATATACTAGCGACCCGCCCTCGCTTCGCTTCGGAAACATTAAAACACACATGAAACCAAAAAAAAATAAAAAAAAATAAAAAAAATATAGCCTATGTTCATCAGGGACAATGTCGGCTTCTAATGGAAAAAGAATTTTTCAAATCGGTCCAGTAGTTTCGGAGCCTATTCGAAACAAACAAACAAACAAATCTTTCCTCTTTATAATATTAGTATAGATTCTATGTATAAATTATCAAAATTTAATGTTGTTACAAGAATTCTATAAATATTTTTTCATTTATTTCAAACAATTACTTAATGCTTAAGCTTGACGCGATCACTTCTAAGACTTGTAATTAAGCACTAAGACATTCGGATAATTTATAAGACATTCGTGAATTCAAATCACCGCCAAATGCTTTCAGTAAAATTACATTAGAACAGAAACGATTTGGAAGCGAATGTATAGCTACTATAAAACTATATAAAAGATGATTTCATATATTGTAGGGGTGATTTTAATTTCATTTATTGTATGTATCAGTCATCGGGTGGCCGGACTGTGCCAAATGAGTTTTGATTCGTGATCTCATCAGTACAGGAATGCTTGGTGGGCGTTAAACTTCAGGAAACGCTGAAATATATAGACCGTAGTCTTGACTAATCACTATATTAATTATACAGGCGGTTAAATTGCTTAAACAGTCAGGGATTACAATAATAATTAGAGCCACGCGCGACCGCTGTCAACAAGAGAATGGAATGTCTTGACGTTCGTCCGCCATGACAGACGCAACTCCGTTCGGTGCTACCCGCTCTTAATTAAAATTACCATTTAGTAGAATACAAAAGATTAATCGTTATCAAAATAACAGAATTAACTATAACTATCAAAATGAATTGGTTTTCATTAGAAATCGTTAGTTCCAATGCTCGTGATCTTAAAGCATCTGCATAATGTGTTGTATTCTTAAAAGTAATTGAAATATCGACTTTTTTAACAGATAGCTACTATAGTTGTTATAAAATTGGTTAAAAAACCGTTATTAAATGGGTCCGTGTTTTGTCGTACAATCTGTTTTTGGTAGAAAATTATTGATGGTTCATGTTTAGAGGTTAGAGGCAATCATTTCCAAAATATACAACAGTTCGGACAGATATCTCAAGGTCCGTGACTGCAATAACTAAATTTAATGTTAGGTGCCCGACTGGCATGAGACTCTCGGGTTGTCAGTTCCGGTATCGACCGGGGACGCGTGTATTCCGCTTCAAAGTCTGGCGTCTCGAATATATTAAGTCTATAATCTATGATGTGGCGCGCACTAATTGGGGATTGCGGCAAATGATGCAATAGATGCGTGGGCGCGGGTAGCGCGGGGTGGGTCGTCGCGGCACGGACCTGAGTCACGATCCCTTTGGCTACTGTTGCCCCGCGAAACGGAACGCTGCGTTACATAAATAATTTCGGATATTTCGTCAAACGGACGGTATTTCGCATTTATATGTATGTATGGAATATGCCAAATTCATAAATTAAGGTCCGTAGAAATTTCTTCGTTGAAACCTTCAGTTGATTTCTCTATCGTAAACTTCCTTTATATAAAATAGCAATTTCTATGCAGACGTTTTCAATTCTCCGCAGAAATGCTATTGTTTGTTCAATGTTACGGCTCTGCAGTGTAGGATTCTAACAGATTCAACTAAACTAAGCGAGCTTGTTTACCCAATCCTGTAACTATTATACTGGTAGCAGGTTTTTTTTTTTTGGTTGCTTAGATAGGTGGACGAGCTCACAGCCGACCTGGTTTTAAGTGGTTACTGGAGCCCATAAACATCCACAACGTAAATGCGCCACGCACCTTGAAATATAAGTCTCAGTATAGTTACGACGGCTGCCCCACCCTAAAAACCGAAACGCATTAGTGCTTCACGGCAGAAATAGGCAGGGTGGTAGTACCTACCCGTGCGGACTCACAGGAGAGATGAGAGATCCTACCACCAATAATTACGCAAATTATAATTTTGTGGTTTTGATTTTTATTAAACGATGCTATTCCTTGAACCTTGACCGTGGAAGTCAATCGTGAAGTTAAGTACGTATTTTATTAGAAAAATGGTACCCGCCTGCGGGATTCGAACACCGGTGCATCGCTATATACGAATTCACCGGACGTCTTATCCTTTAGGCCACGAATTAAATAAATCATTTATACATTTGAAAACTAGATTGCCTACTACAATGCTACTGGAAACTAGCTAACATGAGGCGGCAGTATTATCGCATAGTATAAGTTATAAAAGCCGTTTATGTTATTACCTTACTTGCTGGAACTCGTCCAAGAACCACCGTCGCGGTAAGCAGATGATAATAAGCACTTATTAATTTCCCTCCTCAAGCTATATCTGGTGGGGCAAGCAATTTTAATGCATAATATTTGGAATTTTCAAATTTTCTTGGTTGTTAATATTGAGTCGGAAACTGAAACAAGTGAATGTATAGGCTATTAAGGAATTGTATCTAAACTGTTTTTGTATTACGCTCTTTTTTTTTCTACTTATGCTGATAGCCTTGAGAAGCTATTNCCGAACTGACGTGACAATGACATTTGGCGCGCTAAACATGGCGGATTTTCGGCCTCATTAGACGGAGACGGAGATATTTACGTATATTCAGGTTTCATTTTATGTACGCACTGAAATACTGTTATATTGTTTTCCTGCGAGTTAAAGTGCTGAGTAAGAACGAGATAGATATATGTTTATGTATGTGCCTTCAAAATGGGTGCTATTTATATAAGCAATTGTACGTATAGAATAATATGTCGTGTCCCTACTATATAGGTCTATGCAATAAATAGTATGCATGCGTGTGTGCGTCAAATACATAGTATGTAGTGTGTGTAATTTTTTCTTTATTGACTTACTATATCTTTTATGCATTATTTTAAAAAAATATTAGCATTGTGCACTTCTTCTCTATATTCTCTATAAGTGTGGAAAATTTCATACTCCTTCAATTTTCGTAAAAAGGGATACAAAGTTTTTGCTTCACGTATTAATATATAGATATATAAAATTGTACTATTGATTTATTTGAAATCTAGTTGACACTTGACAGTTAATCGAGTTGGGCTTATTTGACGTCACTGTATCGGTGTCATTTTATGTATCGCCGCATAGACCTATATAGTAGGGACACGACATATTATTCTATACGTACAATTGCTTATATAAATAGCACCCATTTTGAAGGCACATACATAAACATATATCTATCTCGTTCTTACTCAGCACTTTAACTCGCAGGAAAACAATATAACAGTATTTCAGTGCGTACATAAAATGAAACCTGAATATACGTAAATATCTCCGTCTCCGTCTAATGAGGCCGAAAATCCGCCATGTTTAGCGCGCCAAATGTCATTGTCACGTCAGTTCGGCCGTCTGTTTTGGGTTGTACATTATTTATTGACTTTGATATCGATTTAATATGATTGATTATATAAAATTTCATAATTTATCATGCTTAAAACATACAAAAATAATAATTAAAACGTATTTTATAGGATCTCAAGAAAGTCGATGTCCTAAAACTATTATCTATATGTATTTAAATTCATTATGGAGCCCTCATCCGAAAAATCCATTTTTCGGTCGGAATCTATTGATCATGACACTAATCATAAATACCACTTTAAAATATGTCATCAAAACATATTTAGACATTCTGTTTAGATATTTCGGGAAAAAGGCTACCGACAAAATCTCTTCGGAACTATTTAAATAAAATAGTTTTATTCCGCAGTGAGTAAAACACTATTGTAAATTTGTTAAATATTTAATAATTAAGTGATTTTAGAGAGGAAGTCACAAGGAATGACGTTTGTAATTAATGAATAAATGTTCTGTAGGTGTTTTTTTTTTCACGCGGTCCCTTGATAAGTTTAAAATTTGAATCACTCTCAAGCGAAAGTGATTCAAATGGTGCGGCGCACCTTCCTTGGGGTGCGCTGCGGTAGTATGTTACGGACTTTAGAGTCAGCAAAACAATTAAAATAGATTGTAATAGTCTAAGAAAAACACGTACTCAAAATACGATAACATTTAGCATGCTAGAAATGGGCTGATGGCTTTGAACTACGCCATATCTTTATGTTTTGCGACAAACGACAACTTTATAAAATCAGTGTAGCAACTTTTAAAAATCATCATATCGTTTACTTGGCAAATTCGAAGGACGAACTTGTCTTAGATTTCACCCATCTAAATCATATCATATTTGCACATAACAATATACCTACTTACTTCCCATTAAAGTATAAATTCTACAAATAAATAATACTCAACAATATTTAAAATAAAATGAGCCAAGAACGTTTATCGACAAAACCTGATAACATTGAAATCTTTTGTACAGCACTAAAGCCGCCATGTTTTGTGGCCAGATGACGTCACAGTGGCACGAAATTTTGGTTAACGTTTCATTTCCATAGGTTTCCTACTTCATTGATCGCCGCTGTCATCAGGGGTGGGGGGAGGGGGGGGGGTGGTACCCGACAGGCTTAACTCCCTTTCACAAAGACTACGCAAATGAAGGATTGAGGTATTTCGGAAAGATAGTATCAACAGAGAAAATTGTATGTCGCGTAAAAAAAAATCATTTGAGCTCTAGTCTTCGTTTAGAATTAGTTTCTTTATTTATTTATTTCCTTTGTTTTCGCAGGATTACGCGATGGCAGTTTATTTGAATTTGTTTCTATGAATGTGACCATTAAATAAAAGATTAATTATAAAATTAAATACTTTATTAAGCTCACATAATCATAAAATGTGATAGATAATGCTGTAAAGTTTGTATATCTAAATTCATATAAAAAGTATATAATGTACTTAGGATTAGGTACTCTAGGACAGTAACTGTCGAACAACAGTTGTTTGATAAATTTAATTTAATTCTTAAAATTCGTTACAAGTAGGCATCTTAGCCATAAATTTCGATAGAACAATTCCATTGAAGATAATATGAATTTCAAAATGAGATTGGTGCACCAATAAATAAATTATGAATTGTAAAAAAATGTAATAAACTTACAGATGTTAAAGTTAGTATATATTTTTTAAACATTCCGAAGCTGTTTACAAAGCTTATATGAAGGGATTGTCAATCGTCACAATTGTGAGAAAAGCGCCATAATGTTAATTTTAGATAAATTTAGTTAAATTATAACGCGGGAGCTGTTATGTGACTATTTACATCCTGATCTAAAATTAATACATTTGCTAATAGATATAACACGTATGAATAGTTTTGCAATGACTAGTTTAACGCATACAATTCCGTTGAACAATCTTAAAACCTATATTATATTTTATTACCTGGACAATTTAATTTAATATATTGGTATATAAGGTTATATACAATTAAGAAAATACACAAAATCGCTGCGTGATAATGTATCGGCATGTTTGATATAGCGTTCAAAATCGAAGGGCGTCCCCGGCGGACACTGTTTAATGTGGACTTACTTTTCTTAGGGTCTGTATATTCAGAATTCTTGCGTGCGGTAAGTGATCGATTGTTCTGAGAATCAACAGAATTCTCTTCCGTTTGAGAACTGTCCAAAACACTATTTGCAGGAATATTCTGCTGCACATTTACGCAATCAAATGCCTCACTAAAGTATTCATGTTTCGTTTCCACATTATCGTGTATAATGGACGGAGTGCACCGATTATTGCTATCGTTGCCACTGCAGACGTCAAGGCTCTCCTGCAAGTAACTGTTAATTTTTGTCAAATGTTCGGTGATCAAGAAATTTGGCAAAGGACTAAGGCTCCTCTCGATTTTTGACAAGTCCGTATTCAAAAAGTGATCGAGCTCTCGATTTTCACTTACAGTTCCAGTTTTGATCGATTTTTCAACTAAACTTGTTAAAGAATCCGACTCCGTTTTAATTGGTATCGAATTAATTTCTTGGCCTATTGGATCACTGTCACTGCAGCTAATTTGCTTTTGTTGACTCACAGACCTTACAAACTTGGCTAGAGTACTACTTTCGACTTCAGTTGGTTCTAATGTGATCAAATCTTGTGCAGATTGTGTTCGTAAAGCATCAGCTTCTAATAGTTTTTCTTTGCATAAAGAATTCACAATTTTGTAACTTTGCAAATCAACAAAGTCATCCTTGAGATATTGAATTGGTGTTTTGGACCGTTTGGCCAGTTGCGGACTTATCATTTGGGAATCGAATTCCGGTGGGACCGGCGTGAATTTGACCGTTATGATGTCTTGATTTATTATAGTTTCGGATTTTATTATATCGTCGACGTAATTTTTGTCGTGCACCTCAACAGTACTCGGGGAGTCGATGACGTCATGGTGTGTGGAACGCTGCACCCTATCGACCGTTACTTTGCTAAGTAATTTTCCGTCTGTACTTCTTATGTCGGAAAACAGTCCTCCATCGAAGTGGAGGGGTGTTTCCAACTTCCTAGTTCTCTGTGGCGACGGCGTGCCGACCGCCGGCGGCGTGATTGGCAACGGCGAAACCGGACGAAAAGTAGTAGTCGAGTAAACAGTGTCCGAGTTGTAGATTATTTTTATTGGACTTTTAACGGGCGTGTGTTTTACAGAAAGGCCGACCTCCCTTGGCGAAGAAGCTCTGTCCTTCGAGGTTCTTTTTACACACCTGTAAATAAAACATTAACGTCGTTTAGTTCCTTCGAGAAGAAGTCGTTTTTGAAGTAATTATTTTATCACAATTTACAAGCTGGTACATGCACACATAATTGAAGATTTACAAAACGCTTTGCAAGAGGTCTGCTTGGTTCTAAATATCGAGTAATTACGTTTTTGTAGGACTGAAAAGTTATATATAAGGGCGTTTTTACTGTAAATAGATTCTGAACAACTTCATTCATTGAGTATACATAGTTTGTATATTCACATTTCAAAAGTTAATATACTAATGAACGCTAATCTATCTCAGTATATCCTTCTTTTTTAAACAGACGACTGGAAAATCGTGTTTTTTTTTATAATTACCGTCATTAATGACATCGACAAAGATTAGCGAAAATTTTGAATTGAGAATTTGTAAATGTAACGAAAAACTGAATCCACACATCTAAATACAGTTTTAGAACCTTCATTAGATTCCTATCTATCAACGATTAGGTAGGGAGAAAAAAAAATATCAATTTTATATGTTCAACTTATAAGGCGCATTTTTAACATGACATAGCCAAAACTACATAAACACTTTAATTCAACAAAGCGTTTTTTTTTTCTAAAAGCATTTAACAAAAAGAAAAATCATCTACCACACAACTTCCTGAACTTTAGGAAGTGTAATATATACAATATAATATGTCATATTAGAGTATAATCTATCTGTCAAATACAAGTTTAATGATTACAACTGTAACACTCTGTGGGACGCACACGCTATGGTTTGTTAATTTAAGGATAATGAACAAATACTATGGGAGCGTATGACGAGCTTGTTTTCAAAACCCAGTTACGGAGGTTTGTGTATCTGTAACTAACATTGGATGAGTGCGGTAACATAAAAGTGTGTGACTAAAATAATAATTGAATTAATTAAATTTTAATGTATGCTGTACATTCGAGAAAGTGTAAGAGATATACAGAAAGTTATGTAGAAATCTATAGATATGTATATATATAGAGAGTTAATTTCTTGGGTAGGTCTGAATTTGAGGGTCAGGCGTTCATTAATTGGTTATAAAATCGAATGTGAAATTCATAAAGGCTTAGATAGTTTTGACTATTTTATTACGCTAGGAAAATTAGCACTTCTTTTATACAGCGGTAGAGAGGCAGATGTTCTCACTGTTTACCTGTTGTTATGCGTTCATAAGTGACCATAGAGTCTACTTGATTATATGAGGTTGAAATCTCAATTCTCCCCTCAAAGAGGAGTTTTTTCACAGCAGAAGGACTGTGTTACCAAAGTGCGTGGGCAGAAAGTCACGCGTCCTACTACCATTCTTGTCTATGTGTGTGTTTATGTATACTATCCGTGTGCAATAAGTTGAGACCTGGGGGCGGTGACGCCACAGACGCATGGTTGTACTGTGCACAAAAAAATATCACAAGTTTCCATCCGCGACTTCGTCGCTGCTATTTTTTTTAATTAGAGAGTATTGTACTCGGATCAACGCTGCCTTGTATTTATTATACTTGAGCTATTACAAGCGTGCAAACTGAGTCATAAATATTTTTTATCAGACCTCGAAAGTTTTACCCTTTATTAAAACAATAAACTTAACACAAAAAATAGCAATAAAATATAACAGTAACTCTAATAACTATTAACGAAACAGTGTCAAAAAGATTATAAAATCTTCGTTGCGTGACGTAAGCCATTACGAGACTAAGATGTTAAAAAAATGGCGTTGCCCACAGTACAACACGGGAGCTTGAGGGGAAGCGGGCGGAGGATTGTATCCCAGGCGAATCTCAACTTATCGCGTACGGGTAGTACGTGTGTGTGGGTGTGTTGTGTATTTAGTAGGGAACTCATCATACGCACCGTGCAGTTGAAGCACTGACTGTGGTAGTTATTGTTGAGCGCCTCGACCCACCTGTCGCCCGCCTCCACGGGGAATCCGCAAGCGAAACATTTTGTTGTAAAGAGCTCATTCCAATCTGAAAAATGACGCGTATCAATAGTCAGAATCTCCGGTGCCGCAGAGCAACGTTGTACCGGTCGTAGGCGTAGCCGGATCATGATGTGGCACCATCATAAATGAATTTTTCCAGCATATTTTAAAGCCATAGTATATAAATAACATAAAAAACATAATAATTCATATAAAAAAATGTATTATCATTATATGTAAGTATATTTGTGATGGAACGTCATTGTACCTCAAATGGAGAACTAAAACCATATAAATGTAGAATAGTATAAAAGAAAACTTCCACGGTTCCAAAATCATCTGTTATTATATTATAATATAATAAAAAAATATCTAACACCTTTTTTACGCCTTAACCGTCTTCACCATCTTCCTTTTCTCTGTCATTCTCTTTTCCCTTTCTTACCGTTTTCTCTCACTCACATCCTAACGCTCCGCTTCACACTTTTCATACGTTCCATTCTTACTAATCCTACATAAATATGTATTTAAAGTCGCCGTATCCTAAAGGATAGGACGCCCGGTGTACTCGTATCGAATGATGCGACTCGCCGGTGTTCACACCCGTACTTAATACAAGGAATATTTGCACTATTTGCTCAATGGTTTCATTGTGCACTAAAATGATGAAATTCAATAAATTACCTGCTTCGCAGTATGGCAGTCCGTCTTCTAAGAAGAACGGGTTGTTTCCGAACAACTTTCCGCAATAGACGCAGTTGAAGCACTCTGGATGGAAGTGTTTACCGATGGCGTTTAAACAGTCCTATAAGCGAAATAGTCATGATTAAATACATAATAATCATAGGTCGAGGGCAAGCGACCAAGAGGCAGGAACCCGACCCGTTGGACGGACCAGATTCGTGCAGCCCTTGATACCACAGTGCACGATGCTCTGCACTCAGCTGCAGATAGGAACAGATGGCGGTGCATTATAAAAAACAAACTGTTTCAAGGCCATGACCACGACCCTCAGTAATGAGGAAACCGACGCAAGGAGGAGAATCATAATGAATCAATATAATATCTAATATAAAAAAAATAGATAAATAATATAATAACTAATAAAATAATATCAATAAAATATACATATTAAGAATACATAAAGTATATTCTGCTGAATCGAATGTTGTCTATGGACGACACAATACCTAGATCGTTTTTCTCCGATTTTTTTCCTACCTCAGCTGAAGATCTTGAGAGACCATTTCAGCATCACTGGGCGAGTAGGTGAGCTAACGGAGCTCAAACGAATCCTAGCAAGAGCCGTGCTTCGCAGAATCTACCATCGGATCGGAAACACGACCCACTGAGAAGGTCCGGCAAAAAGCTCAGTAGGCTGTGTCTGTGGGTTAATTTACTAGCCCTTCGTCGCAAGCGACAGGTTCGACGAGAACGATATCCGGTGCTTGGGGTGCCTAAAAGCACCGTTAGTGGATTGTGACTTCTCCGTCACACTAAATTTGCGCACGACTGCCGTTCTGTGTGCTCAGTGCGAATTTTTTAACGTTCTCGATCGCGTAAAAGTTAACTCAAATTTGTATGCAGTTGGAACAGCGCCCCTAGCGGCAAACGTTCCAACTCCATACAAATTTGAGTTCAGAATATAGCGTGACTCCTAAAAGTGAACCTTATAAATGCACATTCAACAAATAGAGGACAGAGACGATGTTGATGGCTTCTTTTGGGAATGTCTATTTTTTCCTATCCCAAAAACATAATAGTTCTCTATCAGAGATGTTCATATGTGAATCCTGTGGCTAACCTTGACAGATGAAGCACTGACGCAGTGAAAATTATATTAAATTTCCTAAATATTTATCTTTATATTTTATATTTATATAAATATTTAATAATTCGTGATTTTTGTGGTAAAAGGCGTACTATAAAAGCAGGCCCTGGTCGGTAGTACTGTATCTTCTTAATCTGTTTTTATTTTGAATTTTAAATGAAGCCTGTTTAAATTTATTTTAATTATATTTACTGTCACGGTGGTGATAATTCAGTTTATTATACTTACGCCTTTAATTTTAGCATGACATTTGTCACAGGCGGGTGCTATGTATTGCTCAAAACAGAATTCACAGTAGAGCTGTCCGTTCTCTTCGACGAATCCGATATCCTGCAGAGGACGTCTGCATGTTGCATTCACGCAGATGAAGTGCTCGGGGCACCATATGCGTCCAAGAGCCGTGATGAATGGACCTCTGAACATTGAAATGAAATGGTAAATAACCGTTGATTGATGATAAAAAGAACTAATTTCATACATTATAATATCGATCATTAATTGTGTTACCGTTACAATGAAAAACCAACACTATCAATTCAACACTCATGCAATTTTGAAACTTACTTGATGTATTCCCGACGCGTATTAATTTGAAAAGCCTTACCTTGTAATAGCCTTGTCGCATATGTGACATACAGGATACATTCCCTCTTCAACATCTACAGAAGTCATAGTACTAAGCGGTCTGGCGATGATATGAGAATCCCTTCTACCGTCATCATTCCTAATGTTCTTTTTCTGTCGTCGTCTAACAACCTCCTCAGTATTATTAACTATTTTTTCTAAAGTATTTGATTCGGTGAATGTGTCATTATCGGTTTCATAAACTTTAGATGGAGGGTCATCGGTGACAGTTGCTGAATCATGTGCGTCATATACTAATGAATTGTCTTTAACGGAACTCGGCAGAACTGCCGGCTTTGTCTCTTCCGTTGTGTTAGATAAGTCGTGACCGTCTAACTTGAAAGATTGATTGGAATTATTTGCTTTTGAATATACGTCAATGATTTTCTTTTCATTCTTTAAGTCACATGGCGAGTGTTTGAAATTGTTAGTATCATCTTTGTTTTCAAATAATTTTCGTTTATTCAATGTATTAGAGTAAATGTTATTTTCAAACTTTTGATCTGGTTTCTTTTCGGATTTGGTTGAATTCATTCCATTCAGGAAAGAATTTTGAAAACCATTCGTCTTTTTGAGAGTGTTAGTTGTGTTTTTATGGTCATCAATTATTTTAAAATCATTCTCATTTAAGGATCCGTTCAAAGTTTCATTCTGGAAATCTAGGCCGTAATCGATATTGAAATTTTTAGGTAAATCAGATTGTTTTTTCATATTACCCGTAACTATTGGTTCTCCAAGAGGTGTACTATGAATATTGAAAGTGGGTATAGGAGATGTAGGTAATGGTGGAGGTACTGGAGTACTTCCATTGAAAATGATTGAATTTAAGAAATTGCTCTCTTTAACTCTGTCATTCATACTACCGAATTCTGTATTTTTGTACACGTTGTCGTTAGTGGAGATTTTTCTTAGAGTACTATTCTCACGAATGTTTTCCTCCGACGAACCATCTGTATTCAGAGGATGCTTAGTAACGACAGTGTCTTGTATTTTATCAGCCATAGATTGGATGTGGTCGGCTGGCTTTATTTTACGTTGAATGCCAATTTCATATCCATTTAATGCCATTTTAGCCATTTTTCGTATGAGACGTTCTTCAGCTTGACTTTTAAACTCTGGTTTCTGAGAACTGCTTGTGGTCTGCACATCGTTAGCTGTTAGGAAAACAATCAAAAACACATAAGCATTTTAGTTTTAATACGTGCGATATTTAATAAGTAAGACTAACGCAAATAACGTAGGAAAAGTTGCTATGGTTATGGTTAGAGAAATAGTTTATGCATGACATTATACACTCGCTAAAGTTATCTTGTCTCGATAATATTCATGCATCACACAACAATCAATTGCGTCAATTTTCCACACTGAATCACCTAATGTTTCCATTACAAGATGCGCAAAGTGGCACACGAGAGCCGGGCAGGGCAGGCTTATTCAATATTCCCCTTCCTCGTTTTGGTGCCGATGATACCCCAAAAGTTTTACCACGTGTGGCAGCTCCTACACTGGAACCTGTTGACGGGGTAGGATCACACACTGGACCTTGGTTAGCACCAGAATTCAAAGGTTTTGGCTTATAAATGCCTGTGTTTCTACTAGCAGTTGCATTATTTTCGTTATTAAGATAATTAGATGAATTGACAGATAACATTTCTTGGGTAGGTAAAGTCATAGCGGGAGGTGGAAACACAGGTTTAGCGTTTATTGCTGAGGGGTGGATATTAGAGTTTAAAAATTGTTGATCGCCAAAAGATGAACCCCCTTTACGAATTTCAATCGTCTTAGCTGACTGTGTCCGTTCGAATTCTTCAAAAGTTTTTCTTGTTGTCTGAACAGTAGTGTGCCCGAATTCAGAAACATTTTGTGACTGCATCTGTCGTTGTCCAAAATTTTGAGCCATCATTGAATCTTCTTTAATAGAAATGTCTCCTTTTGCGTAATTTTCACTTTTGTACCCGAAATTTGATTGAGTTTGTTCTTTTATCATACTCGATGGATCAGACACAAACTTCTTTTCGCAAGATCTATCTTGGAATTCAACATTAAGACTTTGTTTTTGTTGAGATTCGTGTTCTTTTCGCAAATTTGCCGTCGCTTGAGTCAGTAATGAATGCGAGTGTGCAGGTTCTCTGATACGAGGTGCTTGAGCTTTTAAAGGATTTGGAGGAGGGCCTGGTGCTGGAGATCGAGACCTAGGTTTAGGAGTAGGTGAGCGGCTTGCTTCAGGACTAGAAGGATCATATAAATGACTTTCTGTTGCCAAATGTTCTACAGTAACCAAATTCATTTGATAGTGAGGAATAATTGGTGCCGGTTTATTAATCAAACTTGGTGTTGAAGGCCGACTGCGAATAGGTGAATTTCTCATGAAATTATCATCAGTAACAGGTTGAAATGTCATAGTAATAGGAGTATCTTTGTGGAACTGCAGTGGTGTCTGTGGTTGTATTTGATATATAGGTGTTTGGTTTTGTGGAATCTTAGCAGTGGAAACTTCTGGATACTTCTGAGATGAATCTTTAGGCTCCTTAGATTTATCTCTTTGCTTATTTGGTGGATCAGTTGATGGTGTTACTGGCCTTTGCAAAACTGGCTTTTCTTTGTACATATCTGGTGATATACCTCTTTGAGATGGAAGTTTTTCAAAATTCTTTTGATATAACGGTATGTTATCTGGTTTATGTAAACCAGATATAGACCTCACCGCCGACGATGACAGTGTTTCTTTTTTATCTAGATGTTCAAAGTAATTTTGCGCAGATTTTACAGAAGAAAACCCACTGCTAGTTTTAAAAGCTGATTGTTGCATTATTGTTGATTCAGACATTGTTGTTTCTTGTATGTTTCTTTCTGATATTACATTAGAATAGTGAGAAGTATCTTGTGTTTGGGGAGGCATCAAAATTTGCTTGCTGACAGGCTTAAATGCCGACATCTCCGACGAAGATTGTAAATTATATGTATTTTGCATATTCGAAAATTCAGTGTTCATTTGATCTGATACTACTTGATTATTGAAAGATTGTGTTGCGACGGGTTTGACAATTTCAGAAGCTGCAGTTTGTACGTGTAGACTTGATGTGGATGTGTGATTAAATTGATTTGCTATATTTACGGGAAGAGGACTATAGGGTCGATCTGGAGCGATTGTAAGGGCATCTCTTAAAGAACCTCTTTCAATAGATGCAGCATTTATATTAACAGGTGTGTACGGACGTTCAGGAGCAGTAGTTAAGGCTTCCACAAATGGAGAAGATGTTGCCTCACGCTCTACTCTCGGTTCCACGGTTATTTTGAAATCTTCAGGAATATATGGGGTGGTTTCGGGAGGCATCGCAATTGGTGTTTCAACCTTCTCAGGTGGATTATATGTTTTAATAGGCGGAATGGGTGTAATAGCACGTTTGGGTTGTTGAGTAAATATAGGAGATGGTTGATTCGGAAGATTCTGATTTTGTTGAACCGATGTGTACTGAATTGTTTTATTTGATAGATGTTCATTTTTTTCCTGATGATAAAGTTCTGTTTTTACGTTTAGTGGCTGAGGTACAGGCAATGGCGAATAAGGCCTGTTCGGTGCGATGGTCAATGCTTCTGTCATAGTTTCTTTAACAGTTTCTTGTAATTGTCTGTTTTTATCATTTGACGAGATCTGCATAGGATTCTGTGTCTCAGCAAACGAACCAATTTCATTTCTTGTTGAATTCATAACTTCAGTATTACTATTATATTTTTCAGCGATTTGTTTTTCATGGATAAATTGGTTTGACACGGTTTTTAACAAATTATCTTCATTAAGAAACATTTTCTGGTCTTCTTGAGTATTAGAAGTTTGATTTACAGAGTTTTCTGCGTTCGGCTTGAAAAGTGCATCTTTCGCTTGACAAAGATTTATATTTTGATCATTTGACGATTTTATTGCCATTGCACTAGTTTCTTTACTGACAGACATTTCAGCTTTTTTAATATTTTCGTTGCTTTCATAAATCTTAGGAGGTTGTTGAGAACCTGTAGATGTTTGATACACAAGGTTTTGGCTCACACAAGAGGATTCCTGTGAAAAGGATTGTATAGCACAACTAGTTGTTTCTTGAACAATCTGGGCCTGTGAATTATTCAAAATAGATTCGGATTTAGTGTGAGAAGACGAAGATGCAGAAGAAACCGCAGCAGTGTAGGAGACACTCGATGAAATTTCCCGTTTTTGTTCGGCAGATAATATTTCTCTTTGAATGTTTGAGGTTTTTTGAACCTTGCCGTCTTCATTAGACATATCGGGTGTTATAACTTGGCGTGTTTTCAATTCTCTTTGCATAGGACTCCTATTGAGCGCTTCATATTTGGGTGGTTCATCTTCTGGAGCATTTGGAGGAGGTGGCCACACAATACTTTTAACATTTTGTGCTGTTAGCATTATAAGGTAGGTGATAGATACGGGAAAGGAAAAATAGATGAAAACAATATTAATGAAACTGAAAGCTTTTTGAACATAAATACGTGAGCTATAGTACTGACTGCAAACTATTTTAATGAAGCAAGAATGTTAAGAATCTGACTGACAGCCTCAGGTTTTCTTGGCAGTTATGAGTTACGTATGATTTAAAAGATATTTGGTGCCAGGAGATAGTTATTTTAGAATTGCGAGTGACATTGACTGCCCGCGTAGCGCATTCACACTAATTCTGTATAATATTTACAAATATCAAATAATTACAATTAAATGTAGCCATTCGAAGCAGAGCTGTGGATATTTTTTTTAAATTAAATTACCTTTAAAAACGGAAACTGGCCGTTCTGTTGAAAATAAATTAGTAACTTATAGTTTACAATTCATATATCCTGTTGCGATTCATTGCTTTCCAACATACTCTACCTATTGTTATATTGATTATTAAATGTTTACCGACATGAAGTATTAATAGACATTTCATAAATTGCACCAAATTCACTGAACATATTCTATAGTTCTAATTAGCTAGTTTAAGAACCAATGACAGAATGCCATCTAAAACTGTTGTCATGAGGAAACTTGATTATTACAAAAATCAACAGTTTCAGATAGCACACTAGACTTTACAATTACTTTTTATTTCGAGAAATTATTAGTTTTCTTCAATAAATTGAGACACTGGGCTTTAAAAGTACGTTATATTTCTGGAAATTAATGAGAAATTGAGACTAGTTGTTAGACAAAAATGAAAATGTGAAAAATTAATAATTTTCCGAAATGGGATTTATATCTTAGATCTATACGGCAAACGTGACTCTCTTACTGGGGGCGAAGGGTGCGGCGGGGGGCGGGGCGGGCGCGATGAGGGGCCGCGCGGGGGACAGCGGCGCCGAGCGGGGGGACAGCGACGGAGAGTACGCAGACCCCACCGACGACCCGAACGGCTTCGGGCCAGACAGGTTGCTTGAAGGCTGTCCAACATACAACCCTTTCATAATTTTACATAACCTAAACAGGACAGCCTAACTATACTGAGATCTTAGAACTTATATCTCAAGGTAGGTGGCACATTTACGTTGTAGATGTCTATGGGCTCCAGTAACCACTTAACACCAGGTGGACTGCTCGTCCATCTAAGCAATAATAATAAAAAAAAGGACAAAACGGAGGCATTCAACGCATAAGGCAATAGGTACGATTTTTTTTGTCACACCATAGGGCCACTCTAGGCATTCAATTAAAATTGCCAATTACAATAGTACAATATGACTCATAAAAACTACTGCGTTACTTTTGTATAGTTTTCATTCAAAATTTACGGTGTGATAAATATTAATTAGACCGCATCTCCCGTAATTTGAGCGGTTAATTATTATGATATAAAATTTATGACACGTTTTTGAATATTTCCAAGCAGTTTCAAAGCTGATACTCACGCTGAACAGCGAAGACGATCCATTGCTGTAGTTATTGGTAGACAGTGGCGGCAGAGGCGTAGAGTATGTGTTGGTAGGAACTCGGCCACCGCTGTGTAATAATATTAATATATAGATCAAACACAACAAGTCTGAGGAAAACGTGACTTAATTATAATACCGAATATCCCCATGAAGCTACCATGAGTTTGATTTCTAATGGTAATTCTTGAAATCTATTGATTGACAACTTGACAACTAAACAGTTGCCAAACACGCAAAATTTAATAAATTACAGCGAATTTTTGATAAATTAATATGACAAAGATTTTAAATTATATTATACATAGAATTAAAAGTGTTTTTTTTCCTACCCAAGCTGATGGTCTAGAGAGACCATATTAGCTTCACCGAGCTAGTAGGTGAGCTCACGGGGCTCAAACCTGACGATGTTGCTAACACGAACCCTAGCAAGAGCAGTGCTTCGCAGAATCTACCACCGGATCGGAAACGCGACCCACTGAGAAGATCCGGCGAGAAAATCAGTGGGCTCTAACAGTGATATAGACAGTTATTAGTTATTAGATATTCTCGTAATTAACTTACGATATACATAGATACATGGATATATATTTAGAAATACATTCAAAATTGAATCTTAAAGCCTTTTTAATTAGCTAGACAATTTGAAATAAGGTTTTAAATAAGGGTTCTTACGGTGGCACGGTTACAGGGTCCAAGTTCGGCGCTGGTGGGTTCTGACGTGCGACCAGCTTGGCGTGGATGTCGCAGTACAGTTTACCGTTTATGTTGTAATAGCCCTGATTCTTCAAAGAGCTCCCGCAAGTCGAACACTTGAAGCATTCCACGTGAAGATTCTTGTCCTTGATGCGCACAAACACTCCCCTGCGTAAAACCATTAAATAAGTCCCACTTCAAAGATAGCTATTGAATTCATACAAAACTGGTGCGAGTAAATGGCGACCATGTATACGAATAATTTTTGTGAATGTAAAAATCCATTTTCGCATGACGAAGATTTATGAAAATATATTTTTATAATATTATATAAATATAAACCTGACTAAGTACATAGTATAAGTATACATTTTGATAATATTATCAGTTGTATTTACATTAAGGATTGCCAACTGTTTATTTCTAACGCATTAAAGAAAAATATACTAGTTTCAATAACATATATACAAGGTATTATTAAATTTTATTTACACTATGTGTAGTACTGGACTAACTGCATAGTTGAAGGCCGAGGAAGACGTGACCAAATAAGACATAGACGTCTGGTTTCTATAAATAACATGTATTGAAAATATGCCTAGCAGCGCTGTGATGTTCATGATTCTATCTTTATACATTTGAAGCCTTCGATGAAAGAACGCTCACAAAGTTACGAGCGGAATCCGTCATTTCGGTTTTCCCGCGCATTTATTTAATTGTCATCATCATCGTTATTAATCTAAGTAATCATCCAATCAGAATACTTTGACACACGTCTTCACTGTCAAGCTTGAATATTCTTTAACGATTTGATTTGAAAATAAACGAATTTAGGTTGCACATACATTTTAAAAGGAAAAATATATTGATAGCTGAATAATTATTGCACACGTTTTAATTCTATAATAATATTAACCAAAACAAGTTTTAATAAATAAATAAAACTTAAAAGGAAACGTCGTTTATATCCTTATAAACTATCCCATTGTTGGCAACCCTGTACAATGTAAGTAAGGAATTCAAACTACTATTTATAACATTCGAATATCTATTTGATGCACTATTGATACTGTCAACAAACATGCTTATCTTACTGATCGTGCTAAAATGGATCAAGCAACGTAACAGATGTGCTTTTTAAATATAATAAATGGTGAATCGTGACATGCTCAATGAGTGTTTTGTTCGATAAAATAAATGATATTCTTATAGTATTCTACACATTAACTAATAGTGAAAGTAAATAGTGGAAGATGATTATGAAGAGTAATGAAAATTCAGCACCAATATCGCGAATTTAATCAATGTGTAAAAAGAATTAAATTACGCTCGTTAGGCCGAGCTCACATCGCCATACTCGTACCGAATTGAATAGATTGAGGGTCCTCTCCGAGCAGAAATGAAAACTCAGAGAGGGGATCCGCAACGTGAGGAAATATCTCATTACTTTGATTAATCTACTTCTCAATTATTACAACTAGTGCAACAGGTCGACACGGTAGCAAACACGGCAGGCATTTCGGAAGACGCCGCTTACACAATGTATCGATTACAATCGGAGCAATATGGCGTGTCGTTGAGGATGGGCAGCGAGCCGGTGGCGGGGCGCGGGGCAGGCGGAGGAGCCAACGCCACTCGCCCGTCCGGCAGCGCTTCCAGCACACCTTCCGGCAGTACCACCTTGGGGGGCGCATGTTGCTCCGTCGCCGTCTGCGTGCCCGTGCTGGCGCGGTCCGGCGCCGGAGTCACCATGACACGGGGCGTCCGGGACCGGGAGCGGTGCGAGCGCGCCAGGCTGCCGGGCGACCCAGCGCGCGCCACGCTCGCCCGCGAATAAAAGTGAGAAGGCTCTGCCGGCCCGCAACATACTGTTATTTCAAATGTACTTGCCGTCGTCGATCGCGCCTTACTAAGAAACGTCGCGGTCAATATGAATTTGATGAAAAATGCGTGGGGGGGGGGTGAGGAAACGCGGGTTTTCGCTCGAACGCGCCGGAGTGCCTCGGTCGCGACGTTGCCACCGTGTCGGTCCGCGCTCGTCGTCCGACTTACGTAATTAATCGTTCGCACTCCTCGCAAATGTTCTGTCCGGGAGGCAGGCCGCCCGTGTTGTTGACGGGCGCGTCGGGTCGCGTGACGGGCGCCTGCACGTGCCGGAGTCCGCTCACCGGGGGCACTGAGCCGGTGGTCGGAGTCGACACTTCTATGTGTTTATATGCCAATTACAGATAAAAGAATGATATGAACATTCCATACATCATTATTTTTTTATTGCCCTTGTAGGCAGACGAGCATACAGCCCACCTTATAATGAGTGGTTATCGTCGCTCATGAACGTCAGCAATGACAAGGGCAGAGCCAAGCCGCTGCCAACCGTTATTAAATTTATTAAATAGTTATTGTACGAAACCGTACTACACGTTTGATTATTTGGAATTGTTATCAGATAAATGTTTATCAAACAATCAATAATTAAATAAGTATATAAAGTTTTAAATTGAGGTTCCTAATTGTATGTTCTGTAATAATTTCTGATATTATTATGGTACCACAAAAATCTATGTTTTAAAACTACCGATTTATTACAGTTGTTACTTCGTTGCACGACAACTTCACGCCGTGGCGTGACAGTCACAATTATTGTTATCGATACTAAGATACTTAGTAAAAATATTGTTATTGACGTAAATCATCAAATATTCATAATTATGTTGATATGTGAAATATAAAGGGCAGGATAAATATGAAATGATGTAATCAATAGTTTGGGAAGACTTCGCTCCGTTATTGATACGACACGAAAAGAAATTATACCTGGTTCAGGGTCGTTTTGCTCCTCCTGAAGTACTTTGAAAACAGCGCTTTTTTCAGCATCGTACGTCTTCTCATTCTTCTTGAAATTAACTCTGCGAAAATCAATGTCTATCATTAAACACAAGCAAATCTAGTTGCGTGTGTGAACCGTAGTTTTTAATTCGTGTTAACCTGATTTCTTTTTATGGCTTAGATGGGTGGACGAGCTCACGGCCCACCTGGTGTTAAGTGGTTACTGGAGCCCATAGACATGTACAACGTAAATGCGCCACCCACCTTGAGATATAGTTCTAAGGTCTCAGTATAGTTACAACGGCTACCCCACTCTTCAAACCAAACGCATTGC